AAAATAAAACACTATTAAAAACATCATTTTCAAAAAAGTCTATATATAAGTTTTTTTTAATAATGTGTACAATATGATATAATAAGTTTGAGTTATATTAAATCTGATGAATATTTTTATCTTGATTGACATCACGAGATTAATTAATTTAAGACCTATCCTATTATTTGGAGCATTGAGATTATCATCGAGCGTTGTTAAATATGTTCGATTAAAAATACTCGCTCGAGCGTGTCGAATTTCTTCCCCAATATATCAATTACATATCACTTAATTTATATGCAACACATGTAAACGCGTAATGTATGATTACGATCCTGAATTTACGTTGTGTGCGAACAATCGCTAGCTTGTACATATATATCGTATCAAATATCTCTGGTCCTGCATGTTCAATCGCAAAATTGTCATTGTTCACATAAAGTCAAAGATAGTATTTATGTACGCGTTACGTTTCGCTCATTTCTATCTCTAGTATTTCTAGCTACAATTATATTAAACGCATCAGATATAACATGGTTATATAGATCGTCGCATAGTATTGTAAAATTGTAAATATTTTTGGGAGACTTTTTTTTTTTTATAATAATTTTCTTTTTATTTTGCGCTTTTACTATTATTTTCTATAAATTAAACACAGGAAATGGAAAGTTATTTTTTAAAAGTAATAAGTTACTCATTATCGAGCAGAAAAAGTAACAAGTTACCATTACTAGTTACTGATTTTTTAAAGTAATTCGTTACAGTTACCATTACTTGAGAAACTGTAACTGTTTGTTATTTTTCCGTTACTTTTTTCAAATCGACGATCACAGCGGACGGGTTCCTAATAGAGGCTTTCTAGTTTCAAGCGCTAGTGTCAAATCGAACTATATCCAATTATATAACAATAAAAATAACTGTAAAATTCATTACCGTTTACCAAAAAAATTACGTTACTAAAAAAAAAAATAAATAACGTAGTTATCAGTGAAGTTATCAAAAAAGTAACTTGTAATTTCGTACAAGTAATGAGTTATTTCCATTCTCTAATTAAAGATAGATAAACATACTTCGGATTTGTTGTTGCGTATTAATTTAAAAAATTTAGATTTCTTCCCACGATACGCATTATATACTGCAGTATATTAGTTAGATTTTTAGATGATTACTTTACAACATAGCCTCGAGTTATTTCTTTGCAATCAACTTTCTCGCTCAGTTAACACAGATTTTGCGACATTCTGTATAATCGCCTTATGTATATGTATAACTATACCTGTGTATATGTATATACTCTATCAACCGCTTCTTTCCGGTTTGAAGTCTTATCCCGTCACAGTGAGCAAGATTAATTAGGTATTATTCGTTATCCTGTCAAGCCGTGTCGATTACAGTTGGCCGAATGATTAATCGATGTGGAAATCGAGCGTTTTCCTCTTCGTTAATAACTTGCAAAGATTCTCCGTCGTGTCTATTCAAGTTATGATTTTACCGTTAATTCGCATTGATTGATTAATTGGCGCCCAACAGGTACGATGATCAGCTATAAATACTATGACAGCATCGCGTTACAATATCAATCGATCATTATAAAAAATTCCCCCGATTGTCAAGTCTGAATCAGGCGATGCGAAACTGGCAAAAGTGTCAAAATTTTCTAAAATGTAAAATCTTTTTTTTTTTTATGTTTGACACTAATGATGATTGGAAACACGAACGAAATTGTATCTTCGACTTTTATTAACGCGACGGTTTCCTAATATCACGTTTTCCAATGTTTCTTTGTATTTGCAACACGTTTCCAATTATTACTGTTACTTTTTATTGGAAGCATATAACTTCATAAATATTGAAAACTATTTTCAAAATGTAATGCATTTCGAAAATAATTGTCAATGTGCATTGTAATTGCTTTTTCCAAACGTGATTATTGGCGCTAACTCAAATCGTGTTTGGATACAGCAAACGGCAATTCACATGTATGTACACCTAATAATTGTTTATGTATTTTGTATCATGAACATACATTTATGAAATATTTTGTAGAAAATATTTCTTTTTATTGTAAGGTAAGAATTAATAATGTACAGATCGTCTTTCTTTATTTCCCAACTTCGTCTTTTGTCATTGATCGTTTCATAGCACAAGGTGTATTATAAAATGTGCATCTTTCTTATTTCCAGCACTTTGTATAAATGTATGTATTGATATTTATATGTGCATAATTATTAATTAATTAATCTCTATCTTACTGTTTTTCGTAGGTAATCTTGAATTTCGTAATGAAACCTAATCATTTGAATTCAAGAAAATATGTGAATGTGCGTAGTTTTATTCTTTCGTGCTGGAATTCGATTATCGCGATAGCAATTTGACAGGAAATAATTGCGCCGAAAATCACATTGTCTGCAGAGGTTCATTAGTTTTCCGCTTTGCTAATTTCACACACGGAAAACGTGCGATTCACTTGAATACGAAATCGTCGCTCGTGTACCTTTGCGCATGCATTTGGGCTCGAATTTGAATTATTTGACCTGTTTGAGGGGATGTACCGCATCGACGTTTGTGAGTTGTTAATTCGTTTTTGTCGGTGATGCGCGCAGTGTGCGCGTCACTTCGTCAATTAGCAGGCTTTCCCGAGGTTTTATTGGATCAGTCGAAACGTTATGAAGCCCATCGGTTTTTATGGTCGGTAGTACGGTATATTCCTTCGAAAATAGTTTAAATCAGATTTTATTACGCGCGTCGAAAGGTTGAGCAAGGAAAATGAAAGAATCGTGAAATATTAAAATATTACTGCTTGCACACACGTATATATATGAGTTTATAATATATTCATTGTGATTTATTGTCATTAATATAATATAAACTTATATATTTTTGAGATTGATAATAATGGAAATTTTTAGAAAACGGAAATTGCAATGAATACGGAAGAAGATGTATCTTCTAATAATATTCTCCATTCTTATTTAAATGTAATAATGCTTTATAGGCAAGAGGGTTTTCCCTCTCAAATAAAAGTAAATTTTCAATGATATACTTGCAATTGTTTGCTACTACGTAGTGGAAAAACTGTTTGAATTAAAATCGGAACTTATTTTTGTATATAGTTTTTAACATAACCGATTGTTAATTTAACATGATGTGATTATATTATTTATATATTTGAATATTTTATGTTAAATTGTTATTTAACATTTTTTTATTGTTAAAATAATATAATTTA